CTCTAACCATACCTCAGGGCTGGCAAGGCTGCCGCAGCAGAAGCACAGGTCTTAATCCCAGTTCTGGCACTTCCTTGGTACATGACCCCATGCTGTTGCCTGTGTTTCCATGCCCCATCTCTGTAGACTATTCAGGGCAAACATTGGCACACACTTAAGTTTGCCCAAGGCCTGGCTGGGGGCGATGTCATGGCAGCACCCGCAGGGGGCACTGCCTCTAGGTAGTACCTGCACCAGGAGCCAGGTGGGGCAGCAGCAGGAGTCGGCAGGAGTCAGTATCCTTTGAGGGGACACAGCACGTCAGTCACAACATGGCTTGTTCTCTGCAAAGGGATGTTGATGCAGCAGATGAAGTGGTTTTTCTCCAAGGGCACAGCAGCCTTTCAAAAGGTAGCAAATGCTTTCTCTGAGTTACTCAGTTACACGTTCCAAACTCCCAAACTACACAAATCTCCTGAGAAAATGCAAGTCAGTCAGAGAGAAATCTTGGAGCCACTTCAAACGTTTTGCCAATAATTCATGCAATGAGATTAAAAAAGCCATTTCTTCCTTTGCCAAGTACACAGAGACCAGAGTGTTCTCTATTGTGTAGGAACATCACAGCATGTAGCATATGACAAGGAAAGGTCACCGGGGAGGGGCCACAACTCCTTTTTTAAGAGGCTGCTACCGGTGTTCTTTGGAAAAACAGGTTTTACTCTGTAGCAAAAGCCATAATTGAATGCCCAGCTAAGTGGGTTGAAATACCTGCCTGTAGTTTCTTTTAAAGAGACTCTGTTGGAGGGTTCTCTGCTCTCTATCCCACCTGGGCCAAATCTTCCAGGGGTGTACATCAGCTGACACCCATTGATTTATTCTGAGTACTTTTAGGGCTCTAACATCCCACCGCAGCGTGGACAAGATACCAAGCCACAGAAATGAGTTGAGAGCAGAGTCTCAGGTTCAAAAGAGTCTCAGGGTATGATGTGTCTGATTTCCCCAGACTTCCAGGGACATACAGCATCTTTTTCAAGGGATTAAGAAAGCTACTGGGAACTAGCCCTTAGTCTGATGAGGTAGTACAAGGAAAGACAGACTTTAGGAGCCACAAGAAAATGACTGTAAATTTAGTGATGCTTTCCAAACTACTTCTTCACCCACACTGACAGGTGAGTGAGGAATGAATTCTAGCCACAGTTGATCATCTACTATCTGTATTATTTCCCTCATTCTCTAACATAATTGTGGCCTCACAAAACCCCTGCTGCAGCAAATGGACAAGCTGATAAAAGACACAATGTGAAGAACTTCTCTGGAAACACACAAGAAAACCTCTGAAAACAGTTTCCTGAATCTAGTGTCAAGTTTATGGAATGGGATAGGAGACTTCAAAATACTGTTGGAAATCTTTGCCAAAACACCACTATGGTGTAAGGACAGCTCCTGAGACACCACAACAGAAGCACAGATCCAAAATCCCCTCTCTCTGTAATAAAAATGGAGCCATTTCATCATGACTGATTTCATTGTGTCATTATCAATTTATCCCATGTAAAGTGAGAGATGACCCTCAGCCCCCAAGGGATTTAGAAAATGCGACGGGAGTGCGAGGAGCATATTGAGGGATTCTGAATATACCACTAGAAACTGTCTGCAGAAATCCCACAACAATCTCAGACATAGACCATCTTCATAGTGAGACAAAATAGCAGGTCAAAGCTAGGCAGCAGGGCTATTAGAGGATCCATGGAAGTAAGAACGCAGGAAATACCAGGCTGTCCAGCCAGTAGTCTGCCTAAACCCATAACCCATCTCCAGCAGTGACTGTAATTCAGAAAAAAAACCCCACCAAATTCTGCAAGAGGTAATTATATAACAAGGTACAGGTAACAAGATTGTCATGCAACTTCCTCCCAATCACTGGCAGTTTCCAGCTGGTTCCTCCACAGAGCAAATCCCATCCCAGACTTGACTGTACCTTTATAATTCAGGATTTCCTCATGATCCACCTGAAACAGCACATCTCTTTTTGTATCCTTCCACGATCACAGCCTCATCAAATTGTTGTGCTGCAGATTTTCATCACCAACAGTGCACTGGGCTGAAATAAAAACAGAAAAGTATTTTTTCTGTCACGTGATGAGTTACTGCTAATTCAATTTCAGTGGCTGCCAATCACTGATTTCTAGAGAGGCCCATGAAAGGCTACTTGTTTTGTTACCAAGTAGACAGAAGGCATTCTGGTACTTTTAAAGAGTTTCTAGGAAATGGCAGGGGAATTAAAAAATGCTATAGCAATAGCAGGATGACTTCCATTTGTGTGTGTCTGTGGAGGGAGAGCCTGATGACTCTGGTTGACAGTATGACCCCTGGCATGCAGAGAAGCCTGGTTTGCTTCATAGTTGTGAACACAAATAACTGATGGAATTTGATCTCACTTGTAAACTGAATGATCTGGGATGATACAGGAATGCCAGAAATCCCATCAACTTCTCTGGTAGTTACAAAAGAGCCACTTCTTTACCCAAATCAGTGCAGGTTACACAAGTGCTGTTTGCACCAGCATCCGAGCACCCTGTCCACCACAGCTCACACTGCTTCATGCGACATTACAGAAATGTCCAAGGGAAATACCCATGATTATATTGTATGGGGCAACTGAGATTCCTGGGAGACAGAAAACAGACCCTCCATTAAAAATTAGAATTTTCACCTTTGTGGGGAACTTTCTTAAGATGCACTGTGATATAAGAAGACATTGCAGGACCATTCATAAAAACTGTAATGTGATGTCCCCTTTCTAAAGGTCATTGGTGGCAAAGCCCACCATGAAGCCAATGAAATTTTAATGTTTATGGCATTTACTTGTCACTGCTGGCCAGCAAATTCCAAAGATAAAACACTCCAAGAGTCCTGCTTTATGGCAATAAAAGAATACCGACACTAGCTTGTGACATGCTACAGGATGGCAAAGAGATCAAACCTGGTTTATAGATTATGAAGTGGAGAGAGAATGAGAAAAGCCTGTGGAAATACCAAGAGTCTACCATTTTTCTGCATCTGTGGATAACAGATTGGTGGCTCCAGTAGGTTGTGGGACCTGCAGCACATGCAGGAAAGGACCTGCAGAACTCTTGGAAGATACCATTTATTATTCAGCTGAAAACATCGTTAACACCAGTGGGATTTGATCTCCCTCATAAATGTGAACAATTTTTACTTAGAGCAGTCAAGTGACCACTATGGCTCCTTCAGCCTGTGGGACTACAGAGTACAGTTTTAAACAGTTTTATTAACTTTAGTTTAAATCACTTCTAGTACTGATCCCCCTAAAGATCAAAGCTGTTCCATCATTTATACCTGGCAGGCAGTAAAATCCTTACGTAAATCTGTAAGTCCCCTTGTTAAGTTTAACATTCATCACTTAACACCACTTAGCAGCCAACCAGGGAAGAGTGTGCCTGCCAGGCCCAGCTGGTTCCATCTGCATCTCTGTAGCAAGGACCCAAGACTATGCAAAAGGAGTCAAAGGCTTTGTCTGATATCTGCTCCTCCAAAAGACACAGATGGGAGATAGCCCTTGGAGAGTGCATCTCTGCTCCCCATTTCATCTGTGCCCCCATGGTAACTATGTCTGAATTCCTTAAGTTACTAGGAAATCTCAGAGAGCCGCAGAAAACATTTTGTGCCTAATGAGGCCTTCTTGGACCACAGTGTCATCAGACACTACCATGTCCTGCTAATGAGCTTCTCTCTGTGCAGTGTGGAGCTGCACTGAACAGAGCTCTCCCCATAGGACGACATGCCGTGAACTGGCAGATTAAACTTTCCACTGGACCAGGGACAGTTGCAAGGCACTGGGATGACATCCAACTTCAGCTAAACAGAGTAGGGATTGAGAACATGAATTTATAACCAGCAACCATCAATGAGGCGTAGGGAGCCATGTGTACAGCATACACTTGGGGAAGAAGACTGGGGACTAGAGAAGAGTTGATTCCACCTAATGTCAGGCAAGCAGGACACAAAAGGACCATATCCATCCACTAGAAAACAATATAGGAAAATACAGAGGACCATCATGCCTTTTTTTTTTTTTTTTAAAAAAAAAAAAAAAAAAAAAAAAAAAAAAAGAACAAAAAGGGCAGAAAATAGATACCTCTAACTAATATTTGAAAGCAACACTCCCCCTCCTCGAGTATAGACAATACATCCTATACAGCCAAGGATATTCAGAAGGAGACCCAGCAGCCCTAGGCAGGGGCTATAGTAGCAATAGGACAAACAGCCCATCCCTAAGAGATGACAAGTCTGGAATGCAAACTGATAGAGGGAGCAATGAAAGACAAGGGTGTATATATAGTGTAGTAGCAGGATCTACGAGACACGGATACTATCCAGAAGAAAACTGCAGCTACCTAGCAAAACAGTGTCCGTTCCCCTTTGACTGGTACAGGTGCAGAGTCTCTACTGTGGGATGTGCCAAGCTATTTCTCTGGGAAACACTTTTTCTTGAAGTTTCCTCCTCTTTTTATTTCTCCCTTTCCCCTCCTTCTTCTCTTTCGCTCCCCCCCCTCCCTCCAGGCAGAGATATGTTTCTCTCAGCTGCTTCTGTGCCTGTGACTTTACTGCATGGGGGAAGTCAGTCCGGAAGGTCACCTCTTTCATCAAGTATTCTATTTGCATCCAAAATTGTATGTACATGAAAAATGTGGTCGTGTGTTGCACCTAGCTGCAGACGCAGATGAAATTCTGTGGAAAGCCTGATGCACACTAACCTTTGCAGATGGTGCAGCTATTGCTGAAAAATGGATTGCTTAATAAAGCATATCATCCGACATATTTGCTGCTTGGCTAGCCAAATAGAAGTTGTTTTTTGCACAAATTTCCTTGTCAAATTTGTCAATGTTCATGTCATTTTTGCTTTAGGTCACAGAGCAAGGTGCAAATTCTTGGCATCTTTACTAGTTGCAAGCCAATTTCGGCTATTTCTAACAATGAAGTGATTTTCTCTGAGGATAAGACACTTTATGGGGAGGAAAGGAAAACAGCAGGAAGTGGATAATTTTTTTCTGTTTTTTTGTTGTTGTGGTTTTCTCTCTTTTCTGTCTTTATTTCTGAGGGATAATGTTTGCATTCATTTATGGACCTCCTTAATTCATAATAGAGAGAAAGTGGCCTTTTTGCCTGTTAAATAATTTATTTTGTTTGACTATTTGGTGCAAGATGCACACAGATTTTTTGCATTGGTGCACAGAAAATTTATCCCTTTGTGCAGGAAAACTTGAAAGAGAAGAAAAGATCCATTCCTTTGGCATTCTCAGATATGGAAGGCAGGGCATTCTCTTCTTCCAACTGTCTGCTAGAAGAGTCATTTGTTTAAGCCTCACAACCTCTTACACTAAAAGCCACATAATGTATCTGTTTTGTTTGTTTTTCTGCCTGTTCTATATTCTTTGGCTCTGCCTGCAGATACATCGTGTTCCCTGCTCAGAAGCATTGTTTTCAAGCCTGTTCCTTTCCTCCTGGGTTTCAGACCTTTTTGCCACAAGGTCCCTTCCCATAGTAATGGCAAGTAGCTCTACACAGAAGCAAAAGTGAAGACTGCCATTACCATGTTTGCTACAATAACAACCTCAGCTCGGGGTGGGGCTTTTAAAAATGCAGTATGCTGTTACTGCACTGCCATGAGGAACTAGTACCAATCCCAGGCACTGGGGTGGAGTCCATCAAGAAGGCCACAGGGAACATGGGCAGCTCATGTGAGCAAATATGGTGCATGTGTGAAAGGGATGGAGCCCCATTCAAGCCCTTCCTCTACCTCAGGTGGCCAAGTCAGGTCACAGGAAAGATGGCACTTCTGGGCCTCGGTGGCCCCTCAGAAGACCAGACCCTACTTCTTCAGGTGGGGTGAATGCAGTGCTGGCAGCATGTACTTTGGGGTACAGAGCTACACATCCAGACATCCACAGTGATATACCAGAGTTTATCCAGCCCTCTACAAGGAGAGCTGCAATTTAGATGTCAGATATGGTATTTATTTTGCATTTTCCTTTTTGTTCAGTACCTCAGTGGATATAGTGTTTTCCATTTACTGGTAACAGATTCATTCCTCTCTCGGTTGTGCTATATTCCTGCAGCAATTACATTTCTCTTTGGAGGACTCATTTCTTCTTTAATTCCCACCCTATCCAAAGTCCTTTATCAAGAATAACCTTTCCCAAAGATGCACCATTTGCCAAGCGCATTCTCAAGTGATCTATTCCTATAAAAGTAAAACTTTGCAGGACACAGGCATTTGACATATTCCCATTTGCCTCCCAAACAGGCTGTCCCTTCAGAAGGTACATTCTTCAGCAAGGAACATTTTGTTTACAAGGTTTATTTTGTTAGCAGGTGTATTCCCACTAGTAAGTTTTCCACTGCACCATTTTTTTTAAAGGTCTTGTTTGGTAGCCAGATAGCCGAGACTGCCTGTGATAAAGCCAGCACAAGTGATTAATAGCAAAGTCTCTGCCATTTTATTATTAATAGCAGTGTGTTGACTCAATTAAATCCAGCCTGCTTTTTTTGGCAGGCCTTCGCAATTATACATATCATTATGGGCTGCAGCCCAAATGCATCCTGGGAGTAGACCAGAACTCCACATTAACTTTTTCTGGCTCTCTCTTTGCAGGTTGGCCACTGTAACATGTGGGCTATAACCAATCCGGGCTGCTTTGGGGATGGCAGAATAGAGAAAGGAGGACAAATGGCAGAGGTGAGGATCACACCTAGAAAGGGCATGCTCCCCCACAGTCATAAACAGCCTGGCAAGCACATCCTGGATCCACCTCTCCACACTGAACCCCATAAACACAATGTAATGTGTCTGGACAGTACCTGTTACCAGCAGGGGTGATTTTCCAGCATACTGAGGGGAGTGTTCAGTAATCCCTTCCAAAACAGACTTGCAAGCAGCTTGGCCTGGCTTGAAGAGACACCGAACTGAGGTTCAAACCTTTATTTTGAGACAGGCTCCAGCAACTTGTCTTTCATGGTGGTAAGAGACTCATCTCCTAGTAAAGCTGGAATACCCCAACTCAAAGTACCCTGAAGCATGGTGTAGGCATACTCTAGTGCTGGACACACTGCCCCTACCTTCTGAAATATCCCAGCTAGTCTGTTGGGAGGAAAGCTAAAGGGCATGGGGCTAAGGCATAAGACTAGGACAGAGCCAAGTTACGTTCTCAGCACTCCTATGGAATCTGTATGAATAGAAGACTCACCTGCAATGAAAAATGTAGTCCTGAGGCATCTTCTGCAGCTTCCAAACTCAGGACATCCATGAGTCATTTAGAACACTTGTTATCTGGGAGCACCAAGCTTGGGTTCCTAGATAGTCAATGGGGAGATGTGGAGAAAAAGGTAGGTTGTCTTACCTCACGTTTTGAAGGAAGCCAGATTCTGAGGACCCTGGACAGCTGGTGAAGCGAAGAACTTGTGGTTTCTTACAGCCTTTTGTGACAGCACATCCATAAAATGATGTCCTGTTAATCATGGGAGAAAGCTCTTTTTGGACGTGACTGTCATAAGACTTGTATATACAGCACCTAGCACAGTGAGAGTCTAATCTGAGTTTTAGGCCTTGGCATCACCCAGGTAACAAATCATAGCCATGAAGTGCTGGAGGAACAACCAGGTCTGGCCCCTTGCAAAAGCAGCATATGTTGCCCAGCAGCACTGACCCATCATTATCCTTTGCAGACTGGGTGGGCTTCATCTTTTTGCAATCTGCTAACCAGAACTGGCAACTGAAGTTATATCCTCTAGCATGCATACGATCTATGATTCCTCTCACTATGACTGCTGGTTTTTTCTTTCCAATCCCACCACTCTACAGCTGCAGATCTGTATTCTTCTCTCCATTGGAGACTGGAAACATTCCACCTTTCTGTAGGCACCCAGGGCACCATCCCTCTTCCTGCAGTGTTAGAGGACATCCCACCAGCCACACCTGAAGCCCCGCAAAAAACAGTAGATCCCATTCCCCATTACCTCAACAAAGGGAGCTTTGCAGCTGAAGGCTCTTTCCAGCTCATGCTACTTCATCCTCCAGAAGCCCATTAAGACAGGAGGGCACACTGTGCTTTCCATCCCAGCTTGGCCTGTCTCCATCCATGTCGTCCATCTGGTTTATTTGCTGGCATCAGACAATTCACAGCTGTGGGCCTCTTGCTAAACCAGGGTGGAAGAGTTTAAGCACTTGGCCTATAATCTCCTCCCAGTGGCTGCAATGTCTTTGTGGAAATAATTCTGCTGCTGGACCAGGGAGTACAGAGGAGCTCTGCTGTCTATATTCCCCTGTACAGCTCTCAGCAGTTGCAGAGAGGACTTCATTTGTACCCAGCTCCACTCACTGATGAAGCTGATAGCTGCAAAGTGGGACTGCAGCACTGAATATGGGTGACAGACCACATGTGTCCCATAGATCTATAGATATAACAGATCTGCAGAGGTCATCAAGGAAAGTTCCCATCAGTCTGTGCAGATGCTTAGCTCCATAAGCCCCTCTTGGCTGTCCCAGATGAGGAACAGTCCAATTGGCATCCACAACAGAGTTTTCCCTTGCAAGGGGGAGGATGTATTGCTATTTCTACAGACCCAGATGGTGGGTGGCTTCTTCCATCCCAGAGCATGGATTTCACAACCCAAGGCTAAGCTTTGGCAGGAAAAGCCTCCAAACTCTTGCCTCTCTTTCTGAGGACCGGAGCAGAGCTTGTGAAGAGTGACTGACTCCCTGAGGAACCTCAGCAACACAAGCAAACACCACCTGTGACAAAACTGTATCCAAGTACTGTCAGTGTGCCTGGGAAGGACCCAGGGAGTTCTGGCAGACAGGACAGGATGCACACATAGCAGTGAGGAAGAGGAGATTGGGAGGATTGATGGAGGTATTTGAGGGTTTGTACAATGTGTGTTTCTTCCCAGACAAAAGAGGCTGCAGGTCCATGGCTGTGGCAGCAGTACATCTCCTAGCAGTATGCCTGCTTTGGCTATGCCTATAGCCATAAGAGACAAACACAACTTCAGAAATCTGCTTAAAGATGATGTACCCTTCACGGACTAGGTGGACACAGCAGCCACATCCACACAATGACTGGAGAATGCCACTTTGTTTAAAAATATATTAAGAATCTAAGACATTTGCTCTGTTTTGTTTCAACAGGAATCTTGTTTTGATGTTTAGATATATGGCACTGACCATCTATGAAGCTGGGCAGAGGAAAAGGACTTTTCTTTCAGGATATTAGAAGCAACAGTCAATTCTCTTCCAAGCACACATGCTTTCCCCACTACCATATAAGCCAGACCCAGACTCGAACCATGTCTCAAACATGGGACAATGGGTCTCAAATATTACTCTAGAGAATCCAGTCACAGTCCAGCACCCAAAGTTTCATTATCTAGAGCAATATTGCGTCTTCTGCTCTAGAGATAGAGCTACTGACTTCCAGTGAGATGTCAACAGTTCTCTCACTTCAAGGGCTCTTTATTTCTAAGGGCAATGCCAGACATTCAGAGCATCAAAAGTTCTTGAGCCCACTGGTAATAAACCAGAATGCTTATTACCTCAGTGAGTATGTCTGCCTTCCTCTAGACTTACCTTAACCTCAGGATGAATGCCCATCAGAGGGGAGATGATCAGACATTTTCAAGGGCTGTCCCTGTCACCCCAGGACCAGTTAGTGGGAACTGAGCTGTTATTGCTTCTCTGTTATCAGTTACGGCAGGAGCTTCCTTGCCTTGTGGCTGAGGCTGCATTGTACCAATGACTCACAGAACATAACTAAACCATGTAAAATGTCATCCTGTGTTTGCCATTAATAAGCTTTCAATTAATAATACAAATTTCCAAGAATACCCCAAGCCTGAAACTCAGCACTGTGCTGCCTAGCAGAGCCAATCAGGGCACTCTCAGAGTCAAGCTACAATTAAGTGGTTTTGCTTTCCAGGAAATATCACTCCTTGCTGTTGCAGTTGAAAAACCTCAACCCCAGGACACATACGGATCATACTGCCCCATATGGGATAAGACCTCCTGTGACTTAGAGGATTCCAGGAAAGCTTTCAGACTGGGGTGCAAAGGTTTTATTTTTAAATATCACAAGATCTGATTCTGCTTACTTGCTCATGTAAATTACCCACTGATGTACATGGGGTTGATCAGCTAGAAAAGCAAGAAGACAAAAACTGGAGATGTGTTTAGGACAGCCATAGTCCAAGTCAAACGCATCCAAAATCACAGGTACTATTGTGATGCCAGCTGACACCAGATCTACCACATACACAGCTTTTCAATACTCAGTGTATATACATGAAATTTTTCCCTGTTCTCAGCACAAGTACACAGGAAACCATGGGCAGATATAGGCTTGCATCAAACACACATCAACCTTTCTGAAGGCAGATCTAAAAAGCACAGGGTCACGGCCTAGGCCATGTGTATGCCACTCATGCACATAAAGGCAAAGACAAGGAATGCATTGCCATCTACCCAAGGCCCCTGACCCCCCTGCTCTCTGCACACCTTACCTGGAGGAAAATATTCCTCTCTCTGGTATGCAGACAAAGCCACTGAGTATTGACAAGGGCACCCTCACTCACAGACACACAGAGCAAGGCATCTTCCTTATTTCTGCATCATTCATGAAACTCTTTCTCTGGGCCTACAGTCATATACAATCTCTTGCTGTCCGTACACATATATGTCCCCAACATACACAACCTCTCAGTAAGCAGGCATGCAGACATGCTCACACACACACACACGCACCACCCCCAGGAGGAGCTCCAGGTATTGAGAGGCAATCCTACCAGCTCAGAGAGCCTGGTGAATGGAATAATTAATTTTCTGACGAGCATGAATATCACGCAAAGGCAGCCACCCGGATATGGTGGAACGTTTCCAGCCAATATCCATGCGATCCGGATATTTGGATTCACCCATCCCCAGCTTCTGCTCTCAGCAGTGCTGACGGCAGCAAAGCTGAGCTTGCTGCGCTGATTGGGAAGACTCCCAGAACTGGCTGGCTGGCCTGGACAGTTGAAGACAGCTGAACTGCTGTGCATAGCCCTCACCTCCTTATCACCAAAGACAGAGACACCTTGCCAGCTCCCATCCCTCAACCTGCTGCTCCCACATGAAATTAATTTCCCTCCAACACTCACCCACCACTCTGGTCTCTAGGGCAGGGAAGAGAATTTCATGAGCAGCATCAGTCTGCCCAAACCTGATAGTCCTCCCTGGTGGAGAATTAAGGGGAAGTCCCTGATGCAAGGACACTAATTCCCCAGGCTACAAATCAAGCTTCTATCACCTCTAATCTCCTCCCATCCTGTCTTAAGTCAATTTATTGTCCTCCATTTTACAGAAAAGGGTTAAAAAGCTTGTGGAGACCAACTACAGACCCTAATTCTAGGGGACAGATGAAGAGGGAGCTTAGAGGACAGAGGATGCTAGGCAGAACAGTATTCTTAGACGGTGGTTTGAATTGTACCCAAACCCAGAGGATTCCCACTTACACAGCTATGATGCTCCTAAAGACTAAGATATACAGCTATTTGCTTCTGTGCAAATGTTCAGCTGGTGTTGCTTTAGCATAATTGACCAGTCTAGACAGAAATGGAAAGAATGAGCTTACCATGTTGGACATCTCAGTCCCATTCCCAGCTCTGCCTTCAACTTTGCATGTGATCAGGGACAAATCACCTCTGTTCCACAGTTGTAAGATTAACACAGAAATACTTGGCTTGACTGTTTTGCCTGCAAGCTCCTCAGATCACAAGCTTATCAAGAACTCTACTCAAGAGCTAGACCAACACAGTGCTAGTTGCCTTATAATAAAAGGATCCCTTGCTACTGTACCGAAAGCACAAGCATGTGTGGCTAGAGACTCACAGGTATGATATTCTGCACATTGTCCAAGATATGCACGTGCATCTATGCTCTTTGCATGGTGCCACACATTAGTCACATCAGTAGTCTCTGCACACATCCCACCTCTTAAGTGCTTTTATCTTGGAATACATATCAGGGAAGAAAATAACTGGCACAACTCTCTGCAGAAGTCCTGAGGCCTGGAACTTTACTGTATACTCTTAGAGGGGAATTTGCTGAGGATTTTCACAAGAGTTCAAGTCTGAGCCAGACTTCAATGTGATAAAGTCAACTTCCCGTTGTGGTGGTTGGGTTCTACCAACTTTCTGGTTCTGATCCCTCCCAGTACACTTGAGTCTTCGAAGTTTTTCTTCCACAGTCATGATGCTTAGAAATACCATTTGGCTTTTACTGGGAACTGGCAAATTCAACACTTCTTTGTGTGCATGAGAAATCTCCTAATCATCTTCTTTTATCCTCTAAGAGAATCTAGAAAAAGAACTCAGGGGAATTATCTTACTGCAAAATTGAAGCTTACAAGTAAAAGTGGAGTCATGAAATGAAAAGTTAAAGGTCCTTCATCATGCTGAACTTGCTTTTT